GTTGACTGAAAACCAGCTGAGTTTAGTCTCAGCTGACATTCTGGACAGAAACTCTTCTTTTTAAATTTTTTTTACTTTTTTTTTTAATTTTTGAGAGAGCGTGAGCAGCGGAGGGGCAGAGAGAGAGGGGGACAGAGGAACTGAACCAGGCTCTGCGCTAAGAGCAGAGCGAGCCCGAAGCGGGGCTTGAAGCCACGAACCCGAACCATGAGATCATGATCATGACCTGAGTTGAAGTCAGATGCTCAACCAACGAGCCTCCCAGGTGCCCCTGGACAGAAACTCCTCTTTGGAGCGGATGTACTACAGCCTCTGGCCCTGAATGTGCATTTAACAATTTGGTGGGTCTGTTTTTCTTTCTTTCTCTTGAATCGGACTTCTAGGAGTTTCTTGCCTTCACCCAGCAGAGCAACAGCGCTCATTGCCCGCCCTGACTGAGGGGTGTGTCCAAGTTTTGGCTGGACACCTGATGCTCCTTATCCTTTCCAGATACATCCCAGCCACCTTGACGATGACTTCATAGTCACGAGCCCTGCAGAACAGACAGCAGCGTGGGTGACATAAGAGGGAAGATGAAATTCGTGAAAGATGCAGGGGCCAGGGGTCCTGGGCCTGCATCCAAGAAAGAGACACAAAGCTTCGTGGTTTGCTCTGAACGGGGGCGCAGCATACATTTCCCCAGGTGCCCTTCCTGGGTCCATTCACCTCTTGGGATCATAAAGGTCCATCTCAAGTGAGGCAAAGCTCCTTTGGTCTGGGCCACTGGTAAGTGGTGCCACTACTCCATCCCCAGGACACAGGAATCCTGAGAGGCTGGAGGTGTCAGTAGGAGCTCAGGAATCATTCACTGAGCACATACTTACTGGATGTCTATTGTGTGTGCTGACTGCCAGTGTGATCTGGAGTGTCTATGAGTGTCTATTCATAATTAATAATAATAGTACTAGTGACCATTATTGCTAAATTTACTGAGCATTTGCTATATTTGAGTCCTGTTTTTTAAAATTTTTTATGTGGGTTTTTTTTGTTTTAACTTTTGAGAGCAATAGAGACAGAGCATGAGCAGGAGAGGGACACACAGAATCTGAAACAGGCTCTAGGCTCTGAGCTGTCAGCACAGAGCCCAACACGGGGCTTGAACTCACAGACTGCAAGATCATGACCTGAGCGGAAGTCAGATGCTTAACCGACTGAGCCACCCAGGTGCCCCTATTTGAGCTCTGTTTTAAGCGTGATATGACTCAGGTCATAGTGGCAGAATTGGGACTTTGTCCGACTCAAAGATCTGCATCTGTGGCCATTTGCCTCCCATAGCTTTTTTTTTTTCCCCAGGGAGTGGGGGAGGGAACTCCATTTATTTATTTATCTATTTACTTACTTACTTATATATGTATTTGGAGAAAGAGCCAAAGAGCATGAGGGGGGGGAGGGATAGAGAGAGAGGGAGAGAGAGAATCCCAAGCAGACTCCGCACTGTCAGTACAGAACCCGACATGGGCTCAAACCTACGAACTGTGAGATCATGACCTGAGCCTAAACCAAGACTTGGACGCTTAACCGACTGAGCCACTCGGGCGCCCCTTGCCCCCCGGCCCCCATAGCCTTAGCTCTAACAGAAGAAATAATAAACTTGTACGCAGGGAGCCAAAGTAAACAATATTGGCGGGGCTGGTGGGAGATGGATTTAGACAGTCAGGACTCACACCCAGGCTGAGCCCTGAGTGTTGAGTGGAGCGAGGGAAGAGCTAGGGGAAGGAACGGTGATCTAGGAGGTGGAATAGCGTGTGCCAAGACCTCGAGGGGAGGGAAGAAGGAGCTTGGTTGTTCTAGGATCAGGTACAAGGTCACCGTGGCTGAGGCTTTGTAAGGAGAGGGGATCAGTCTCCAGGCGAGCTTGGGGGATCTGCCAGAGTCTACAGGGGTCTGAAGACTGGGGCAGAAGCCTGGGTTAGAGATGATGTTTGGTGGGAGGCACCAGTGTATTTTGAATGACGTGGAGATGTGATCTGATTAACACTGGAAGAAGCTGCTGCATGGGCTGGAAGGGATGAGGTGAAGCGGAGGCCTGTCGGAGTCTGCGCTAGTCGCTGGAGGAGGGCCCTTGGGAGCCCAAAGCAAGGTGGTGGCTTGGGAGGGAGAAGGCCTGAGGACTGTTTAGAGAGCTTTGTAGGTAGAATCCTGGCTGATATATTTCACGTGAGGGGTGAGGAAGGTGTTTGTGAATGAAATGCTACAGCCTGTAGATCTTCAAAATAACCCAGGGTGTGTGTGTGTGTGTGTGTGTGTGTGTGTGTGCGTGTGTGGTAGGAGTGGTCATGATAGGTGATGGCTGTAAGAGCCGGTGCTGAGTACAAAGAGCCCAACTGCACCAATCTCTCTACTTTTGTGATGTCTGAGATTTTACATAATAAAAAAGAAGAAGGAGAAGGAGAGGATCGCCATGCAGGTGTTTGGCTTAAGCAACTGGGTGAAGGATGGCAGTATTTACTGAGATAAAAAGACAGAGGGGAAGGATTGGGGCACAACTTGGAAATCAGGTGCTCTGCTTTGGCCACGCTGTGTCAGGTTTCAGTCAGAGAGTAAAGGCAGAGGACTACGAGATTTTTGGAACAAGGCTCTGTCCTTTGCCTCAGACAGAAAAAGGTTGGTGTTCGTTTTGCAGACCGCTCTGTAGATGTCTATCAGTTAGGAATATTTGGCTCAGTGGCTGATTACATTTTTGAAGACAGTCACTATCCCACATGCCCATCTTACAATGTGATGTTGAAAAGCTTCCTTTGAGAGGTGGAGTCTTGTATTTCTTTCCCTAGAAATTGGGTGGATCTTCTTAATAACCTTGGCCAATAGAAAGGGGTAGAAGTGATGTGTGTGACTTCTGAGGCTTGATCATAAAGGGCAATAGAGCTTTCACCCTCTTGATATACTTATTCTTGGAACCAGCCACCATGTTATGAGGGAGCCCAAGCCACATGGAGAGGCCCTGTTTGGGTGTCCTTGTTGATAGATCTATTTAGGCCCTCAGCCACCAGCCAGCACCAACTGCCCAACATGTGAACTAATGAGCCTTCAGATGATTCCACTCTTGGCTTTAGAGTCTTCCACCAGAGGCCCTAGGTGTCCCAGAGCAGAGATAAACCACCCCTGTTTGCTCTGTCTGAATTCTTGACCCACAGAAATCAGGAGAGATAATAGTGATTATTGATGTTTTAAGCCACTAAGTTTTAGGGTAACTTGTTATGTATTTGTAGATAACTAACATAGTATGGCAGTAATAGAAACAAGGGGAAAAATCCAGTATCTTAAACAAACTAGAAGCCTTTTTCTCCTTCTATTGAGAATCTGGAAGCAGACAACCCAAGGAAGCTCCTATGGTGTCATCAGAAGCCCAGGGGTCTTTTATCTTGTTCTACTATCCTCATCCCATGGCTATGATTCTCAGGGTCACCTCCTGATCCAACATTGCTGCTGGAGTTCCAACCATCACATCTGCATTCCACGCTGAATGCAAGATGAAACAAGGAGACAGAACTAGCCTTCACCAACATTGTTTCTATTTCAAGGAGCATTCTTAAGAACCGTTTCCAACACCATCTCCTTCTATCTCAAATCCTAAAATGAAGTCACACAGTCACAGTATAGGTGCAAGGGAGGCTGGAAATGCTGCCTTTTAGCTGGGCTCGCTGCCATCTGAAGTAAAACGGAGGTTGTGTTGTTGAGGAGGGGAGGGGAGTGGTTCCCGGCTAGCAGGTGGCTGGTGGCTGTCCTGCTAGAGCAGGACAATGGAAGAAGGAACTCTCCATGGGAAGGAGCTGGAGGCGGTAACATGTCCCCTCCCCCCGCCCAAACACGCACTCCCCGTGCAGCTTCCTTAAATGTTTAGGCACCATGGAGTTTTTTCAGGTTGTTTCTGTACAAAGAACTGAAGCCACGCCCAGAGAAGTGAGGCAGTGATGCCCAGGGAAAGCTCTGGTCTCTAACACCACCCTCCCGCATGGCCAGCAGGCAGCTGGACTTGGCCTAAAATGCTAACACGTGGGCCTGACCTTGTCACTTACCTGCTCAATCACCTCTGCGGCTCTAGTTTGCTCCAGCTTTCAGATGAATCCCGGGGCTTGGTACCGACGGCCTCAGCCACCCCTCCCGTGGCAATCGCCTCTACCTCCTTCTCACGCCTGCTTCATGCCCTGCCTCCACGCCTCTGTGCCTGCAGCTCCCACAGCCCAGACCACACCCTGCCCTGTGTCCACCCGGGGGAATCCCACCCATCAGCACCCTTCTAGGGCCACCATGAGCCCTTATGGTGCCTTTGCACAAATCAGAAAACGGTGCCTTTCTCCAGGCGGACGCAGCTCCGTGTCGGGGCTTGAGGAGTGGCCCACAGTGGATTCCACCCACAGCTGCCCCTCAGCCCAGTGCCCTGGCGCGGCGAACGCCCGGCACAGGCATACATGCGAAGACGTCACTTCCAGGAGTGACTGAGGGCCTTGCTTTGCCCTTGCTCTGGGTCTTCAGATCCCATGCGCTGACTGGGGGCTGCGTTTCCCACCCTGCGTCTTCCGGCATCCTTGGTGCCCGTCCCCCCGAACCACAAATACCAACAGCCATCGGGGGGAACTGCATTTGCACCGCAGATCACAGCCCTTTCCTTCCACTTTGGGGACCAGTCACCAGTCCCTTAGTCCGCAGCATGCCCAGTGGCAGAATGAAGACCGACCCTCCACCCCGGGGCTGGACGGGGGGCCACGTGGACACTGCCTCAGAAGTGCCCCAGATGCCACTGGGTTGGAGTCAGCTGCTCAGAGCAACTCAGACTGAGTCTCAGGCCCTAGGCTGGGTGGGAGGGAGGGGGTTCTCCCTCGGCTTGCCCGGGTCCTGGGAACACTGGAGTGCACGGCCCTGTGTCCCCTTCCACAACCGAGCACTGCATCGCTGACCCAGGGTGGCCCATTGTGCTGGTAGTGGCCTTGGACCCATCACTCAGGAATGCACATGAGAAGACCTTCCATTTCATACCTTTTATTTTATCTGCATCTTCTCTGCCTCCTCCCCCCGCCCCCCCCACTGGCCCCTCAGAGGGGGTGGAAACCCTATTTCGAAGGGAAAGGACTTCTCTCTCCTCCCTGGAGGAGAGATGGTGTCTCCTGGGCCAGGCCCCACTGATGGGAGAAGCAGGGGTCTCCATGGCTGAGCAGGTGCATCGTCCAAGAGGCCGCGGCCAAGGCCGAGGTCCCTCGGATGCCCTGTGGCCCGGGGCCCCGTGGGTCATCAGGAAGGTGAAGAGCAGAGAAGTGTGGGAGGGGGGCGGTGGGAGGGCAAAGCCCAGGGTGCGTGTGCGTGGGTGACAGAGGCAGATGTGGACTTCGCGGGGGACGGGACAGAGACCAGGGGATGCGGGCTCCAGGCGGGGCCCTGAGAAGGAACCCCAGGTCATAGGGGAGCTGAATGGGGGGGAGGGCGTACCAGGGAACCACTGGGGGCCGGGGGGACAAGGCTGTGCTCCAAGAACCGGGCTCCCAGTACAGGGGCTGTGCTGCAGGGTCTGACCAGGGACTGGCCCTCAGCAGAGGCCAGAGTCAGGCAGGGAAGGGCCTGTCAGGGGGAGGAAGATGGGGACTTTGGGCCAGAAGCGGGGCCGGGGCTCTGGCGCTGTCCCGGCAGCCAGCTCCTCAGCTCCGTGGAGGCCGGCCCAACCGGGCACGGCCCCAAACCACCAACTTGTGCTTCTGGGTCGCTTGAGGGCTCCCAGCGTGGCCTCAGCCACGGAGGGCAGAGCCCAGAGGCAGCCCTCTGCTGCATGCAACAGCTGTCCCCGGGGCCCCTCCCCCATCCCAGGCTTGCCCCCCTGCCCTGCCTGGGAGGGCCCTAAGCCAGATCACCGGACTCTGCAGGGGGCAGAACGCGGCGGTGGCGAGCCATGCTGGGACAGTGCAGAGACTCAACTTCAGCGGTGTCCATTCACGCCTTCCGGTCTGTTGAAGGGCCCTGCCCCACCCCCACCCCTCGTGTGCTGGTCTGTTTTCCCTCCTGCCTTGGACAACAATTACTCAGGCATCGAAGCCCAGGGTGGGACGGTGGGGAGGAGGCCGCTCGGAGGACCGCGTGGGGCTCAGAGCGCACCCGGCCCGTCCCCCTGGCAGCCGCTGTCACCATGGACAATGAGCACCGGGAAGTAAAGGGCGTCCTCGTAACACGGTGGGCTTTCCAGGGGCTCCGTGTCCTCTCCCCGGCGCCCTAGCGGCCCCCCGCTCAGGCTTCGGAAGACCCCTGGTGTGGCCCGGCCCCCGGCTCCCAGGGAGAGGCGGCTGCGGCTGAAAGGCAGGCGGGGCCCACTGGGCCGCGCGGGGGGCAGCGAGTTGCTGCTGAGGGAGCGGCGGCAGCGCTGGCAGCCACGGAGGTAGGCGCCGGAGCCGGCGCCCATGACCACAGCCTCCGAGTAGCTGGGCACCAGCTGCCGGTTGGAGCAGATGTGCCACTCCAGCTCGGTGAAGTCCACCGTGGCCACGCGGGAGAGTGGGGGCCCGCTGGGCACGGCCCCGGGCGGGGGCGAGCTGGCACCAAACAGCTTCTCCACCTGGTAGTGCACGTGGGCCGTGCCGTAAGCCGCCACGACGCGCAGCGGCCAGGACAGCGTGGCCGCGGACACCAGCCAGAAGACCCAGGCACGGGCGTACCAGGGCGGGCTGCGGGGGTCCGCGAAGACCATGAGGGACTCGCGGAAGTCCACGTCCTTCAGGTGCATGCCCTCCCGGGCCTCCAGGTAGTCGTCCAGGCCCTCGTTGGCACTGAAGAAGCGGGCCCTCTGGGTGAGGTACGAGGCCTCGGCCTCGGCGCTGCCAAAGCTGAAGCACTTGGTGAAGCGCAGCCGCGTGGCCGCGTGGTCAGCCAGGCCCACGAGCTCTTTGGAGACATCGCGGACGCCGTGCGCTGAGTAGTCAAACTCGCCGCGGGCCGTGCGGCTGTCAGCCCTCTCGTGGTAGACCTGCGTGGTGGTGTAGGCATCGCCGTTCCGGTAGCGGGTGATCTGGCGGGTGTGGCGCACGTAATGGTAGCTGGTGGCCTTCCACCAGACACAGGGTGGCGCCTGCTGCAGCCGGCGGATCAGGGCGAGCACGGTGTTGGCGTCGGTGCGCGGCGCCTGGCATGACCGCACGTGGCAATGCCAGCACTCAGCCAGGTAGAGGAGGTACAGGAGGGAGACAAAAGCCAGCGGGATGTACAGGTAGCCGTCAGAGCAAGGGCTGGCTGGGTAGGTGGGTGGCGGGCCCCCGGCCCCACGGGCCAGAGCTGCCTCAGGCCCCAGGACCAGGCGCGGCACGGTGGCCAGGCGACACCAGGCCACCACAGCGCCACAGGCATGGATGAGCAGTGTGAGGAGCAGGCACTTCCAGTGCGACTCTCGGCACAGGGAGCTTCCCAGGGACTGTTTCAAGGGCCGCTGCTGCAGGGCGGGCAGAGAGAGCACAGGCGTGGGTCAGGCCGGGCCATCAGTGGTGCCTGCCCCTCTGCCCAAGCCCTGAGAGGGAGGTGGTGCGACGCTCCCCACTCTACAGAGGAGGAAACTGAGGCTCCAAGGGACTAAGCATCTCGCTCCGGACCTCACCCTTCTAGCTCTAACACACAGTGGAGCTGCAGGATTCAAACTCGGGCCCATCCACCCTGAGCCTGTCCTCTGCTGTGCCCCATCATCTCTGTCAAGGGCACCTAGGACAAAACAGACCCATCTCTGCCAAAAGAAGAAAGGACCCCCTAACTGGCCATTGAGAAACCTGAGCTCAGGTCCCAGCTCTATCTCTAATTTGCTGTGTGGTCTTGGCCATATTCCTGCCCTCTCTGGGCCCTGATTCCTGGACCTGTTGGTACGGGAGGCCAGGGTGGCAGGGGTCCTGAGGGTGAAGAGCATGGGCTTTAGAGCCCCACCGCTCAGGATTCAGTGCTGGCTCCATCACCTACTGTATGACTTGGGCGGGTCCCTCATCGTTTCGGGACCTCAGTTTCCTCATCTGTAAACTGGGGCAGTTGTGAGGATTCAACAAGATCATATGTGTGGCGATCTCAGCACAGGGTCTGGCCATGGGAATAAACATCATACTGTTTCCCTGAGACTCCCTCTGGTCCTTCGGTTCCACTTGGAGACTTGGGAGAAGCATTTAAGTGAGAAAGACGAAGAGCTGGGAACGGAGGAGGTGTGAGTCTGGGGGAGCAGATGGAGTGCCGTCCTCCATTCCCCATCTGCGCTGTGAGGGAGGGGGTGGAACACAGCTGCTGGGCAGCAGGGGCTACTCCGTGGCCCAGGGGGTTAGGCCTACCTCCCAGGCAGGGCTGCCAGCCCGGGGGGCCTATGGAGAGACACGTGGGGGAGGGGTGGGGGAAGAAGGGGGAAGAGAAGGAGAAGGGAGAGGTGGCCGGGTGCAAACAGCAGAGGTGGCATCAAGCTCAGAGACCCAAGAGGAGAGGAAATGCCCCCAGCCCAGCCCAGGGCGGCCTGTCCTACCCCCAAGTCACCCACCACAGGTGCACATCACCACCACAACCCGCAGGGCCAGATGCACACACCCGCACGTTCCCACCTCCACCATGTTTGTCACGGACCCACCTACATCCCTGACACCAGACCCTCACCGGCACCCAGGGCACCACCCCTCAAGCCAGAACATGGTGCCCAGGTGCACGCACTCGCCCACGCACCCACGCACACACCCCACCCAGACCCGCCCACCGCAGGACACGCAAGCATATGCCAATGACACACTGACTGGAGCCCAGGTACACAGCAGCCCCTCAGCTGACCGTGGGGCACATCTCCCAGCCCCACCCCTACTGCAACCCCACACCCTAGACTCTAGGAGAGGCCCACCCACGACAGAACACACGCACACATCACCACAGCACTCAGGCCAGGGACCGCCATCACCTGACTTTAGCGCACCCAGGGTGTGGGGGGCACGGACTAGCACTCCCACACCCGCGAGCACACCACATCCCCCCAAACACACAGAGCCACTCACCACCTATCACCCCAACACCCCACACAGGGCTCCGCACCCCTGCGGCTCGTCTTCCCGGAGAGGGCTGAGGAGGGGCCGCCCTGGGGGTCCCAGGCAGCAGGATGGGCCCTCTGGCCTCGCCGCAAGGAGGGAAAAGGGGGACCAGAGGCCTCCTCCTTTCCTCTTTCCCCTCCTCCCCCCGCTCCCTCCCCCAAGTCCCAGCCACCGTTGCTGCATTGCAGGCGCCGCCCGGGCACCTCGTGAGCCTCTGGGCTGGGCTGGGGGCCTGACCCCGGGGCCTTGGGGCTGAGGGGCAGCGCTGTGGAAGGGGGGCGCGCAGAGGCCGGGCGCTGACGTCACAGGAGGGCGGGGGGCGGGAAGAAGGGGCGCCCGGGACTGGAATCGCCCCCTCCTCCCTTTCCAGCCGCCCCACCCCGACCCACACGCGAGCCCCTAGTCTGGCAGGGCGCCGGCTACCTTAATGACGTCATTGGCAACAGGGGTGTGGGGACTTCCCTCCTCAGTCCCTGTCCCGGGGTCTGCCCCTTCCCTTGTCCCCCTAACCCTGTTCCAGCCCCGGCTCCGGCCCCCCAACACACAGCGCTCGTACCTCCTCCCGCAGCGGCTCGCCGTCCGGGATGAACTCGGCCACCTCCCCGCTGTCGCCTCCGCCGCCCTCGGGCATGGTGTCCTGGCTGCTTGGGCGGCCCGGGCCCGGGCCCCGGGCATGATAGGGGGGAGCGCAGAGGGCTGCGGCGCGGCCCCGAGGGCGTCCGCTCGGCTAGGCGGCCGCGCAGGGAGTGCGCGGAGCTCGAGCTCGTGCGCGGTGGCGGCGGCAGCGTTGGCGGCCGCGGTGCCCGGCGCCCCGCCCTCCGCTGACCCCGCCCCCGCGGCACCCGCCGCGCCGCCGGCAGCGCCTGGCACCGCGGGCGCTGCCCCCGCCCCCGAGAACCCCAGTCTGGCGGACCCAAGCTTGGGCTCCTGTCCCGCTGCGCTGGCGCTTGCGACCTTGGCCGAGTCCTTGCTCTCGGAGCCCGTTTCCCCTGCTGTAAAATGAGACAGGGAATCTCAAAGGTGGGTAATACCTCCCACAGTGCTGTCTCTGAGGAGCAGGCCCAAGCCTAAGCCCACCCGGCCCCCACCCAGGAAGGCTTGCTTGTAGGAGAGAAAGCGGTTAAAACCCAGAAAGATCCTCATTTGCTGGACTGAGGTGCTGGGCTCCACTTAGAGCAGGCAGGTTGGGGGCCAGGACACCCAGGGCCCCAAGCTTCCTGACCTTGGGCTTGCACTCTCCACCCCAACCTCCGTTTTCCCATCTGAGAAATGGGAATAGAAAGGTGCACAAGCATTCATCATGATGTACAGGGGAGTGGGATCTGTCCTTCATGGGAGGGCACCCTCATGCCACGTGGTGGCGCCAGTGCTGTTCCCTGGCACTCAGGGGTCTCAGCCCTTCCCGCCTGCCCCTAGCCTTCAAGGTAGACAATCAGTTGGTGGGACAAAGGAGGCGGCAATGCTAGGTTGGGTTGCTTTGTGACTTTTTTTTCCCCAAAGGGAACTCAAAAGACCATTCAGTTTAATACCCCTACCCATTTGAGGATGAGGTAATTGAAACCGCAGAGAGAGGAAAGGACTGACCCAGGGCTACATCTATTTATTAATTACTTATTTATTGGGCACAGATGTTTATTGGGTATCTTCTATATTCAAGTACTGTGCTTGGCACTGTGAAGACAAGGGCAGGAGTGGAGAATGACACTGTCCTGATGGAATTTACATACAGGGTAAACGTGTTCCCAGAGGGAGCCTAGAAGCCGGCCTCCAGGTCATTCCTCTGTTCCCCTTGTCTCTCTGAGACACAAGTCAAACCAACTCTTAAAGGATAACGGGCTTTGGATAAACGGATATGAGGAGGAAGGGCATCCCAGGTGGAGGGGACTTTCGAGCAAAGACACTGCGATTCAGACCACGTGGGTTGTGTTCAAAGAGTAGGAAAGTCACCTGGTGTAACCGGACACTGGGTAGCTAACTAGAGGCAGATGGCAGAGGGCCTGGTTTTGCTCTCTAGAAAGTGGTTGGTGAAGGTGTGTGAGAGAGAAAGGCCCGGAAGGCTATCGCCGAGGAAGGTGAGAGGGGTCCGAAACTGGGCGGAGAGAAAGGAAAGCCCAGTTTCACTTTAGGTTGGGCGGCAGGGCCAGCAATGACTCAGGAGTATCAACTGCAGCTTCAGGAGGTGGATCAGCACACCTCCACCCCCAGTCCGGCTGGACCACGGGAGAGTTGACGGACCAGGACTGGTGCAGGAGCCTGTTCCAACGATACCACCCAATCTCTGGGACTTCAGATCTTCTGGAATTTTCAGCATTTGTAGTGTGTATGTGTGTCTCAAGAGCAGCAGAGTCCCGGGGGCCGTCAGTGGCTGTAGGACATTTCAGCACCGGACAACGGACAGCACCCGCGCGGGAAGGAGGGGTGGGGGCCAGGGGGAGGAGTCAGCTTCCGGGGCTCGCTTGGCCGCGCTGTCACTACCCGGCGCGGCCTCCTACTGACACCTCCCGGGCTCCCTGGGCTCTGCTCCAAGACTGGGAGGAGTATGGAAGACGGCGGAGGACAGAGAGCATTGAGAGGGAGGGGCGGGAGCCCCGAGGGGTGGGACTTGGTAGAGCCCCACCGACTCATCCCCTCCTGGAGTACATCCGGCGACGAAACTTCGTTGCCTCACTCCCGCTTCCTCCAGGTCTCCACCTGGTGTAGTCGTGGCAGGGCGAGCGTCAAGTGCCCCACTGCGCAGGCGCGGAAATAATTCTCAACACCCTCCTACCTTAACCCAACTATTGGCTGTCCTGGCCGCAAACTAGCAAACGCACCATCCAATCCGAGAGTGTCTCGAATTGCTCCGCCTATCCCCCTCCCGGAAGTTGCTACTGCCGAATCCAATTCAGCGAGGTCGCGCCAGCAGCCAATTGGGAGAGGGGAGGAGCGAGTTAGCGCCGCCGAGGAGCCAATGGCAGGCGGCGGAGGCTAACGCTGCGGACATGGCGGCTGTGGTCGAGGAGCTCGCGGACGTGTCGGGCTACTCCATAACCTCAGTCGGTGCCCAGGGAGCGGAGCTGCTGCCTTATTAGTATTCGTACCCACGAGGCGGCGCAGCGGGCCCTTGGGGAGAGCCAGCATCGCGGCCATGGCTTATCACTCGGGCTACGGAGCCCACGGTGCGTGGGGCGCGGGGCGGGTGGGACGCGGCCCGACCGGCCGGAGGAGGGTCGGCGACGCGGCCCGCTCCCCCTGAGGGCGAGGGGGCAGCCGTGACCGCTCCCCAGAGCGGCGGGTGTCTTTCGGGTTTCCGCCCTGCGCGACTCAGCAGCGCGTCCCGGACTTCGCCCTCTCGGCCCAATCCTGAGATCGGGCGGTGACAGCACAGCTGGGATGCCCATGCCAGACCAGGGCACGAACGGGGTCTGCCTCCAGAACTTTCTTTACCTGTCATGACCCTAGTAGGGGCCCTCACCACTGCCCAGGGCCTTTGGGTACTCCGCTGTCTTCTTTCCCATTCTTGTTCCTGCGGGATGCCCTCCGAGTTATCTCCTCCACCTAGTAAACTAATACTCTCCCAAGGCTCAATTCAGAGATCACTTTCCTTGAGAAGGCTCCCAGAAGCCCCCAGGTGGGCAGCCACTTCCAGGCGCTGCCTCCGCTCTTTCTTTGCCTACATTTAGCACCTCTGGGAAAGGGACCCTCTTCCAAGTTCTTTCCGGGTTACCTATCCCCATCCAGCGTGTATTTCACTAACTGATTGCTTCGTGCCCCCCAGGACCCATACAGGGCTGCCCAGTCTGGGAAGGGGTGGTGGTTTGCGCTCATGTTTGGTATTCCTGTCACCCACTCTAGTACCTACAAACCCACAGGCTCCAAGCACAGGGCCCGGGCAGCTCCAGATCCCCCTCCCCTCTTCGATGACACAAGCGGTGGTTACTCCAGCCAGCCAGGGGGATACCCAGCCCCAGGAGCCGACGTGGCCTTCAATGTCAACCACTTGCTTGGGGACCCAATGGCTAACGTGGCTATGGCCTACGGCAGCTCCATCGCATCCCATGGGAAGGACATGGTCCACAAGGAGGTGTGGCCCGCCCCCAGGGCAAGGGTGGCAAGACTTCTGGCCAGGGCTGGGGCGTCACGGGATCCCGCCTAATTGTCACAGCAGCCCTCAGGGAAGGAGTGCACCGACGAGCACCCTGGGGTTTGTTGAGCAGCTTGCCCACAGCCTCCTCTCTCTCTCCCAGCTGCACCGTTTTGTGTCTGTAAACAAACTCAAGTATTTCTTTGCTGTGGACACGGCCTATGTGGCCAAGAAGCTGGGGCTACTGGTCTTCCCCTACACACACCAGGTGAGCTGCCTACCGGGTGAACTGCCGGGGCCCCTCATCCTTTCCCAGAGTTTGGGCCCCCCACGCCTCAATCCCCCTCTTTCTTCTCTTTTCATCTTTTCCTCCTGACCTGGCTGCCGCCGCCGCTGCCAGAACTGGGAAGTGCAGTACAGTCGCGATGTGCCTCTACCACCACGGCAAGATCTCAACGCCCCTGACCTCTATATCCCCAGTGAGTCTGTCTTTGACCTGGGCTGGGGGGTTGTGGGGGGACGTGTGCCTTGAGGCACCAGCGAGGAGAGAGAGGCTCGCGCGTTGATTCAGCACCCGCTTTTGGTGCTTTTGTGTGGGGCCGTTGCTAGACACCAGGTAGATGAGAGCAGGGGACCCGTGAGGAGCTTCCTGGCTGTGCCTTCGGTGCTCTCTGCATATTCCCTTTTGAGGCCTTCCTGCCTCTTAACTGGGGCCATGTCCCTCCCCAGCCTGGAGCCCTGGGTTTAGACCTGGCCCTGCAACTTCCAGCTATGGGACCTCAGGCTGGCTACTTTTATGCTTCCGGACTCCAGGAATAACAACAGTCTCTCCCACAAAGGATTGTTGTGGAGCTTCAGTGAGGGGATGTGTGCTCAGCAGGCAGCACACGAAATCACCACTGCCATTGGTATTACTTACCCCCTCAAGCCCTGCTCCAACACGCCCTCCTCTGAGGGAGTGACCACTCCCTTCTGGGCTCCCATAACTGCCCGTCTACACGGCCCGGGGTCAGGCCGCCCACACTGCATATGCAGACTCTGCGTCTGACTCCTCTCTGTCCCAGGGCCTGTACACGGCAAAGCCTGTGGTGGCTACCCTGGAATAGGGGGAGTGTGTCCGGGTCAGCCCTCGGAGGGGTTGCTCGGGCAGCCGGTGCTAGTGAGGGCAGCCAGTCAGCGCAGTTGCTCTGGGAGGCCACACGTTCTTCCATCCTTCATTCCATTTTCTCTCAGAGCCACCCTGTAAGGCAGGAACCGCCATCTCTGTTTTCCATGTTGAAGCCAAGGATCCGAGAGACTCGGGTCTCTTTGAAGCCACATAGCTTCTAGGTGGCAGAGCTGGTTCCTGACCCCAACCCTGTGCCCTTGGTGGGCATGACAGTGCCAGTGCTTCAGGGGGGCAGGGGACGGGGCTGAGGAGTTCTCTGCCGTGAAAGCCCAGCTTCCACTGGCTCTGAGCTGTGGTGCAGACAGCAGAGGTAAGCCCGGAGCCCTCCGTGCTCGCAGGATGGCTGGAGCCATAGCCACTGCCAATGGCTAGACGTATGAAGTCATCCTCACGGCCTGGACTCCGGGGACAGCCCGAGTTTTCTTCAAGCCTGTATTTTGGTCCTCTGGTCCTGTGTGAGATTGGCTTGGCCCCTGCCTGGTCGTCTAGGATTAGCAATGGCCTCGGCCTGTGATGT